AAAAAAAAAAAAAAAAAAAAATCGAACAAAAAAAATGAAATAAAAATAAATTATAGTTATACGCGTATAAAAAGAGTTTACAAAAATTATTGAAGTTTTGCGCAATGCGATTACGCCGAATTTCTTTTTTCTTTTTTTTCTTTTAAAAAACCATATAGTGAAATAAAAAAAATTATATAATATAGGTATAAAAAGTGGTTTTTTTTTTTTTTTGATTTTGATTTGTCCGACAACACGATTTCTCGACCATACGTTATATGTACACGTAACAAAAATAATAATACAAAAAAAAAAAAAAAAACATCCCCCCCCATCCCAGCTCAAAACAGGCGCCGAACACGATTCGTTCGGAGATGATAGCGATTAACGAAGCGAGACATTATTGTCCGGCACTCTCCGTGCGGTTGTCGCCGGCCCGCGGACTGACGACTCGCCGGGCCGGTTCGCATCACTTGCGCCCGACCGCCTGTTGTACCTGGCAAGGCATTTCGACCGCCTCCGCGTACAGACACGACGATTCGCTGCACGAGCAACCGCTACTGCAACTGCCTTTGTCGTCCGCTTCGGCCAGACCCTCGCCGCCGCCTCCGTCGTCGTCGTCGTCACACCATTCGCGATCCCGGCGCCATTGTTCTACACACGCGTGTGTAAAACAAACCAAAAAAAAAAAAAAAATGTCATTTGTTAGGGTCGTTTTCGTTTTTCGTACATTATTGAAAAAAAAAAAATTAATTAAAAATGGTGCTATTGATCAGACATATACTGAAAGTGGTGTGGCTGTGGGTGTAGGATTAGCAATTAATATGAAACGAGACGTAGTCTACACTCGCGTCATCATCATCACGCGTTTTGTCGCGTTAATAGCCGTACGTCTCTGTCGTTTGCCACGTTTCTCGGCTGTGAATAGGATGGTGAGGACATTCATGGGACGTTCGGGGTTTTGGGAATATGATGTTTTTGGGCGTCATCTAGACCTTTTCCCCCGAGATCTTTCATTCGAAGATATTCCTTACAAATGTGTTAAGTCTGAACAAGTTTATTTCGTTTTTAATATACGTGTCTCATTATGTCCTTTTTTTTTTCTTACATCTTTTAATACTCTCTCATTTGTTTTTCTTTGAGCCCATGATATATTGTTCATCGTACTACATACACTCTAAACTCTATATACACAAATAATAGGAGTACCTATACGGCGAGTACAGTAAAATTGAGAGGAAGCGAGAGAGAGAGAGAGAGAGAGAGAGAGAGAGAGAGATGGGCAAGGAAATGAGAAACGACGAAATGTGTGTGATTTAAGTATACTACGCGTGTGGAGTAGATGAAGAAATGGCGATAGATTTAGAGAAATTCGGACATGAGTATATTATTATTATAGCCGACTTCGATCGCGAGTGGAATTAAGACGAAGAACTGCAAGAGGACGAAGTGCACGGTTTTATAGTTTCCCCTCTAGAGTACACTTCCCGCGTAGTCATTTACCCCGATCTAAAAAGGAAAATGAAAACGGAACGGGGCAGTAACGGAAAATATTATCGTGTACCCGAACAACTCGTAAAGGGAATTTTCCGCATCGGTAGTTCGCTTATCGCGGATGATTCGCGACACATCGTTGCAGTTCTTATCTAACCGCTATAATAGCCTATTCCCTCGAGAGGACGGAAAACAATATACGATTCGAGAGATCGTGTTACAACGCGAAACGACTGGTCCGGCGGGACCCGCGGAATATTGTCGAGATGTCGTACTGAATATAGACGTGTAAAAAAAGAATATAGATAGAAACTTCGTATTTCACAAAAAAAAAAAGAATAATAATAATAAAACGAGATCTTCATTTTCGGAGTATGCGGAGTTTTAGAGGGGAAATTTCAAAAATTTATCAATTCGATTGAATCGTCATTTCGTACCTATTTTCCGCGTGACTTCCGTTATTTTATTCCGTTTTACGTGGATTTTACGTGGAACTACCCTACTTGGCGAAATCAAACGAATTGACAAAATCGTAATTCCTAATGTTACACGCCTAGGGCAGTCGATTAGAACGTAATTAACTGGGAGCGCCTGTACGGTGAATAAAGCTGTCTTCGCGTCTTCGTGGCATACACCATGTTAGAGAAGTCGACGACGGCAGACGACGTTATGATCGTTGTTAAAATGAAAAGGTAAACGAAAAAAAAAAATCGAATCAATACTTTGGTAAGTAAAAGTCAGTAAGATAGAGTATACAGGGTAGGTAATTCAGTTTACGTTATTGTGAAAGCAACGATAGATTATTGCGATTAAAACCGCTGAGCGGAACTCGGTCAACTGGTAAGTTTATAATATTAATCGGTCGCGGTTTTTCTCCCTCGTACCCGGGGTGATTGGCCAGAAACAACGAAAATAAAATCGGTGTATCGCCATTCGTTGTCGGTTTTGTTTCGTCGAGTTTTCGGAAACGCCGTCGAAAGTTAATAAGAAGAAAAACCCGCATTTTTTCATGGCTAACACGGACAAATCGGAGCATTTTTACTAACCGAAATAGAGAAAACCACACACGCGTACGGATCAGCCGTAAAACTGTGTGACAAAAAATAATTAAGCGCCTTCGTTACTGTACAAACATTTTCAATTTTTCCGAAATCGGCTTTTGAACAAAAGCGACCGGGCTCTTGGCGTGACACTTACCGGAATGATGTTTGAACCCGAGACCGGGTAACGTGGACTGGACGCTGCGGTCGATGCTGTTGCCCTCGGAACAGCACGTGTTGAACGGCTGTTCGTCCGGCGACCGTTTGATGCACGACGGCGGTAACGACGGTTGTTGCTGCTGTTGATTGACGTGCCCGTACAACAGCGACGCGCTCTCGTAATCGTAATCGGACGGCGTGCGGTTCCGCAACCCGCCGCCGTATTTGTTCGGCCGGTCCAGCGCTTGGCACGACGATACGTTGCACACGGACGACGGATGCGACGAATTCGGCACCTGCAGCACAAAAAACGCACGCCGCGGTCGGTATTTACAATAACAATAATAATAATTATGCCGGACGCCCGTTTTCGTCCGATATTAAGCATAGATAGTAACGTAAGAATTCTTGTGTGGACGGCTATGACATTAAAAAAGCCGTCCCGGGAAAATGGGGACGGGCGGTGCGGCCACCGTTGTAGGCGAGAAGTCGGGAAGGCAGGATATAGACGGGAATGTAATGTATATCTGTGTGCGCACCATTGCTACCGGAAAAAAACACGATTCTGTGCGGAGTTCGGTCGATAGTGTCGCTTTGTTAACAATATAATATATGCCATATTATGGTAAAATTATTACATATGCGTTAAACCTTTTTTTTCAATAATATTTGTTTAATATTGTACCTATATTTTCCCGGTTTTTCTACGTTTTTACCCGATTTTTCCAATTTATTCGGAATACTCCTGGAAAAACCAAAAAATGAACTCTCTTAAGTACATCTCCCCAGTCAGACTTCCTATTAGAAAAAAGTGCTATCACTGTAAAATTGCTGGTGAAAAAGTTGTCCACATAAAAAAAAAAACATTATTGTAAAACCAATACATTCCTCGCTCCACTCAGAATCTCGAAGGACGTGATACCGGTTGGAAAATTGTAATTCGATTTAAACTCACTTTCTTTATTTTTATCGTGCCGAATTTCCACAACGCATAAACGAGTACTTAATCTGCGCTACAGTATGCCAATACTTTTTTTTCGGTAACACAAATACTACCTATTCACATTATTTGTTCGCAAACTTTTGAGTTTTTTTTTTTTATTTGATTTTTCATTTATTTATAATTGAGTAAAATAATAAAACAAAAATTCGCTCGGAATTTAAAAAAATACGGGTATACTTCGCACGTGGGCGAATAAATATAAAAGAATACAGACGGAAATTTAATGTATATCTGTAAGAAACGATAAACCACTGCTAACGAAAAAACGATTTAAAACGGAGTTAAGTTGATAGTGTTGCTTTGTCAACAATATTTGTATTATATTATGGTAAAATTATTACAACAATGTGCGTTTCCATGACAACAATAATTGTTTAAAAAAAAAATAAAAATAATAAAAACTTAATAATAACAAAAAATAAAAATAAAAACGGTTTCCAATAATAATCTTATTTTTAATATTTTAATCTTTTCTAACCTAAAGAACCAGGCTTTTATCATTATCTCGAGTATTTATAAGAATTTCAAAATATGACCTATTTAAAGTACTACCTATACAACATTTCCTTTCGGAAAAGGCGCTATACTCGATCATCGGAGTGGAGTAAGCTTTCTGGTAGAAAAAGTGTTCACATAAAAAAAATATCTTTGTAAAACCAATGCATTCTTCATTAAACTCAGAATCTAAAATGCAAAAGTGCACGCTGTTTAGCACGAATAAGTCGCTTGGCTATATGCGTTTTGAAGTCTTTCTGTGTAACTATAAATACGAAAACTGTTTTTTCCGAAAACATTTCTCAGTGTTAATTATTCCGTTTGTGATGACGGTAAACACGGTACTACAATGCTCCGGTCCGCGACAGAAGTGGACTGTTTCCACGTGTGCACTGACGGCAGCGACTGTTCCGAGTCACTGTTTCCTCCACTTTGTGCTACTGAGTTGCACGCTGGGTGGTGCGCCGATTAGCGGGGGGGTGCACGTAATCGGATGCGTTTTGGTCGGGACACGCGGTTTATTTCACACGCGGCCTGGAGTCGATTATAAAGAGAATTTAAATATTTTTGAGACGATAGATTTTGATTTTTTGAAAAGTTTTATGATAATCGACTAATTAATATAGAAATCCCTCACATCGATAAACGTTTCCACCAAAAAAAAAAAAATGTTCGAGAACCGTTCTAGGTTAGGTATATTACACTAGAC